GAAATATTAAAATGTTTGGCACTTTTGGAACTATCGGCAGCTGCTAATAGTGACGGAGGGGTAGTCTCAGGCTGTGTGGCTCATCTAGCACTGGGATACGGTGCTCAAATTTTGATGACGTGACAAGGGAGATGCTGCGTGATGGCACAGTGGGCCCGATAGGCCCGTTTTTTTGCCCTCCCCAGGCTCCAAAGGCTTTCTAGGAGCCTGGGGAGGGCAAAAACGGCCTTCCTGCCCTCCTGGAGGCCCTCCGGATGCAGGAAACAGCCCACTTCCTGACTTCCAGTGGGCCTGGAAGGCCCGAAAATCAGTTGGCTGGAGCGTGCATGCACGCTGGAGCTGAGCTTGGGCAACGCTCGCGTGCCCACAGATACGGCTCCGCGTGCCACCTGTGGCACACGTGCCATAGGTTCTCCATCACAGCACTAGGACTTATTTTAGGGGATGTCTTATTTTTTTTCCCCATGTATGAGAGGCCCACTTCTGCTTGCTTATGGTGGGGCAGGAGGCTCTGTGGTGTGTCAGTGCTGCTGCTGTGAGGCAGGGGGTGGAGGTGCCCCATGCGCTCCGCGCTGGCTTACCTCAGGGCCCCCGCATCCAGGCCACCCACATCCCGCTTTGCCTCATGGTGACGACTCTGGCAGCCTTGTCCAGCAGGATTCCACATAGCCGCAGGCTCACTTCTGCTTGCTCATGGCCGCAACAGAGCAGAAGGCCGAGCGACACGCCAGTGCTGCGGCCAGGAGGCAATTGTCAGGGCATGGATGGTCTTGCTGTGGGGGCCCTGAGGTAAGCCAGTGTGGGACACATGAGGTAGATCCATCCCCCCTCGCCTCACCTCATGTTGGCGGCATCGGAGCAACCAGACGGAATGGGTGGGTGGATGGATGCACAGGCACTTAAGTAGGGTTTATTTTGGGGACAGGGCTTATATTATGCGCATGCGTAAAAAACATGCTAAGGCTTACTTTCGGGATAGGTCTTATTTTGTGGAAAACAGGGTAGGAGTGAGTCCTGGTTTGCAGTCAAATATTTTGCTTTCTGTTAAGAGAATTATTTTTTCTGAGCTGGGCGTTGGGCGAACTTGAAGCTCTCTTACAGTTGATGCACTTGGTGTCCAGTTTCTCAATTTAGCCGTTCTCAGATGATGCTTCTGTTTTATTCATGAACTCCTGCCAGTTCTTCCAATTCACGAGGAGGTGTATTAGATGCAAATACAACTTACAACAGTTCGCCTAATGACGGTTCGAAGTTACAACGGCACTGAAAAAAGTGACTATTTTTCACACTTACGACCGTTGCAGCTTCCCCATGGTCGTGCGATTTACCTTCGGAGGTTTGACCGCTGACTCACATTTATGACGGTTGCAGTGTCCTGGGGTTGTGCGATCCCCTTTTGCGACCTTCAGACAAGCAAAATCAATGGGGAAGCCAGATTCACTTAACAACCATGTCACTAACTTAACAACTGCAGGGATTCACTTAGCAAAATGTGGCAAGAAAAATAGCAAAATGGGGCAAAACTCACTTAGCAACATAAATTTTGGGCTCAATTGTGGTCGTCAATTGAGGACTACTTGTACAGATAGTCCTTGACTTACAATCAGAATTGAACCCCAATTTTCCATTGCTAAGCAAGATAGCTATGAAGTGACTTTTGCCTTGCTTTACCTTTCTTGCCACCGTTGTTAAAAGAGTCACTGCAGTTGTTAAGAGGGCAACGCACTTATTTAATGAATCTGGCTTCTCCATTGACTTTGCTTGTCAGAAGGTCGCAAAAGGTGACCATATGATCCCTGGGCTTGGCAACCAATCACCAAGCATCCAAATTTTGATCACGTGACCATGGGGATGTTGCAATGGTTGTAAGAGTGAAAAACTGTCATAACCAGAGAGGTGGTATTCAGCTGGTTCACACCAGTTCAGACGAACTGGTAGCGGCGATCCCAAGTGGGTCCGCCCCTGCCCTGGCTCCAAGTCATGCTGTTTAGGCACGTTTTTGAGGCCGGGCACATGTGCAGAAGGTGCATGAGTGAGCAAATTACATGTGCGGAAGGCCGTGTGCATGCACGGCGAACTGATGGTAAAGGTAAGTGAAACCCACTCCTGGATAAGCCCCCTTTTTAGTGCTGCTGTAAATTTAAACAGTCACTAAATGAATGGTTATAACTCAAGGACCAGCTGTATTATTCAAAAAGAAGTTCAGGAAGAGATAATATCTTCAGGTTGCAGCATTGGCCCCAGAACAAGGATGAAATCATCCTGCATACCAACAGTAGATAATAATTGTAGCTCAGAGTTAAATCTTACCCATACATTTTGGGAGATCTTGTAACAAAGTGTGCTTTGCCCAAAGAGAGCCCGAGGTGGAAAGATAGATTAAAATATGTTTATGGACACAAATAAGACAAGGCAGATATTCTGAAAGAGCAGGGAAGCCACTTAGAAATGTAGAAAATCATCTCATATACTGTTCAAACATATTGCGTTAGGAGCGAGTTGCCTCCAGATGTTGTGGGTGCTCTTAACACTGGAGGCTTTTAAGAAGAGATTGAACAAGCATTTGTCTGAAATGGTATAGGGCAGGGGTGTCAAACTTGTGGCCTGTGGGTTAGATGTGTCATGCGCTGGCCATGCCCACCCCCGGTTTAGCAAAGGGGGGGGGAGTCACAATACGTCACATGACGACGTGACGATGCACGTTTGACATCCCTGGTATAGTGTTTCCTGCTTGAGCAGAGGGTTAGACTAGAAGACCTCCAAGGTCCCTTCCGATTCTGTTATTCTCCTATTCTATTACTCTGAATGAGTTCTTTCATCACTTATCATTCGACACATCTAGTGATCTAGTGAGCACGCTCAGGAACTTTATGTGTAACATGCAGCATTTCCTAGCATCCCATAATATTCTTAGTATGATCTTGTTAATACTTGTCATATTCAGGAGCTGTGCTTCCCACATTATAATGATTTTGCGAGTTATTAAAGTTCAGATCTATGTATGATTCTTATCCTTGGCAGGTTTGAACTGGTTCTTATCAGATTCTACATTCGTCATGGAGAACTTGCTTTGTTAATTTCAAGGAACTCAAAATATGAATCAAAGACATCCCTAGTTACTGAAAACATTACTCAAAAAGCCTCTCCCCCTTTCCTGCTACCATCAAAACTGAGGAGTTGCTGGTGCTCTCTGAGCTTGGTTGTTTTCTTGCAGAAGTTTCATTATCCAATTATTTACGTTATCTATCTAGTACGTAGGTCTAGTAAGTGTGATAGAATGGAATGGAATGGAATGGAATGGAATGGAATGGAATGGAATGGAATAGAATAGAATAGAATAGAATAGAATAGAATAGAATAGAATAGAATAACAGAGGTGGAAGGGACCTTGGAGGTCTCTAGTCCAGCCCCCTGCCTAGGCAGGAAACCCTACACCACTTCAGACAAATGGTTATTCAACATCTTCTTAAAAATGTCCAGTGTTGGAGAATTCACAACTTCTGGAGGCAAGTTGTTCCACTGATTAATTGTTCTAATTGTCAGGAAATTTCTCCTTAGTTCTAAATTGCTTCTCTCCTTGATTAGTTTCTACCCATTGCTTCTTGTCCTGCCCTCAGGGGCTTTGGAGAATAGCTTGACTCCCTCTTCTTTGTGGCAGCCCCTGAGATATTGGAAGACTGTTATCATGTCTCCCCTGGTCCTTCTTTTCATTAAACCCAGTTCCTGCAACCGTTCTTCATATGTTTTAGCCTCCAGTCCCCTAATCATCTTTGTTGCTCTTCTCTGTGCTCTGTATAGAGTCTCAACATCTTTTTTACATCGTAGCGATCAAAATGAAGTTTGCTCCTTTTATGTAGAATTGCCATTGCAGTGTCGGTGGGGATGTGGTTTTCTCCTTGATTAAATTATTTTGTTTGTGGAAACTAATCAAGAAAACTCATTTGGTTCCCTGTGTTGTCTAGATCTGGAAGAAGTGTTTTTTTATTGTTCACTGTTTCTTCTGACTCGCAGAGACAGAGAGAAATGTAGCTGCAAATAGCATTGCTTCCATTTTACACTATTAAAAAAAAAAAACAACTTTGGCGATTTTAAAATAGGTGGACTTCAAATCCCAGACTTCCCCAGCCAGTATTGCAGCCTGGGGGATTCTGGGAAGTGAAGTCCACAGATGTTAAAGTGGCCAAGTTTTGAGAAACATTGCTCTGCCTGGCTGCTAAGGGCTGACACTTAACCTGATGCCACATAATCAGTTGACCAATGTTATGTAAACCATGATTTATTCATTAGAAGTCTGTAGCCCTAATAAGGAGCCTCAAACTTCCATAGGTTTCATTCCCACTCAATACAAGTTGTGCCCTGCATACTTTATTGGGAGCATTATATATCCTTGTAAGCTTTGCTGACATTGCTCATAACATTAATACTGCAAAGGTTGCGTGTATATAAATCACGCAATAAATCAACAGCATTTCTCAAACTCTCCCATTTTCTGGCAGCGCCCCGCCCACTCCGCTCTAGCCCCGCCCCCTATGGTCTGATTTCCGCGTTTCTCATGAAATCGGAAGCAAGGAGATTAAAAAAGAACGGACAAAAGTCGCGCATCGACGACCGGTTTCTATTCCGCGACGAGGTATTTAAAAAGAGCCGCTCTATCCACCTCTCGGTGGAGTGAGTCGATGCTCCGTCTTTCCCCCTTTAGACCTCCCGATCGCTCAGGGCATTTGACTATCCTTGCCCGTGAGGAAAAGGATTTCCCCCCACCACCACCCCGTTTTGAGGTGGGAGCTCCACTCATCCTATCGATTGGGAACCGGGCGTCCGGGTCGCGCGTGTGCGTCAGCTGTGGACTCCCACCTTGGGAGCGCGCGCGCGCGCCTCTCATTGGACAACCCGGGGCTACGTCCCTGCGTCAGCACCTCGGCGCTCAGGGGGGAGAACCGGAAGTCTTGTCGTAGTCATCGGGCTTTCCCCTTCACCTCTCCCCTCCCGGGGCCGGAAGTCCAAGATGGCGGCCGCATACCCGGAAGTTGGTCAAGGCCGGAGCTACCGCTGTGGACCTCGAAGCCGGCAGCCTTAAGTCCGCCGCTGCTGCCGCCGCCGCCTCGGGGCTTTTGGTTCTCCCCCCACCTCCCGGCCGAGGGTCCCTGTTCGTGTGTTGGGGGAGAGCGCGAAGACCAGGTGAGCGGGACCCCCCTCCCTTCAGTGACCTCACGAGCCCCCTCCCACCGGAGCCCCCCCTCCCTCTTTCTGGATGACGGGGGTCCCTTCCCTCAGGAGAAGCCCCTCCTCCTAAGAGACCCCCCCTCTATTTGAGCCCCCCCCCTTTATCTGAGTTTCGGAGAAAGCCCCTTTAGGGCCTCTGAAATTGGGGAGGGGGTTAATTAGCCCTGCGCCCCTCAACCTCTTTTGGCTCCTGGCTCGCCCCTTTTCTCTTGGCCGCTGTCCCCCCCCCGGCAAGATCCCGGGGGGAAACCCCCCCCAAAAAAAACTTCATGAAGGGGTTCCACTCGGAGGCTTCTATCTCGTCCAGGCTGCCAGGCAAAGTCCCAGCAGAGAAAAGGAAGTTTTTTATTGGGGGGGGGGTTCGGTTGCCCCCCCTCCAAAAAAAAAGAGTCGCTTCCCTTTAGTTCAACCTGTTAGCACGCTTTCAACCCCCTGCTCAAAAAGTTTGTGCGGGATTACAGTTCCCACCATCCCCACCCAGCATGGGAGGTGTAGTCCAACTCCCCCCCCAACATATGTTTGTGTGGGAGGGGTGGAAGGAGATTGTGTCAATGTTTGGGGAGGGGAAGGCAAGCCAATGTTTTTTTTTTTTTAGAAGGATCCAGTTCTTTGGGGGGCAAGGCTGGGAATATGTCTGGGATCCCCTAAATGAGATTGGGGGTTCCTTCTGCCCTTCTTTGCCTCTTTCCCCTCCTCCCTTCCTCTCCCTCTTTTCCCTCCTCCCTCCAGCAAGCCTCAAATTGGGGGAAGCGGACTTCCCCTTTCCCCCTGCTGCTCTTTGCTTCCGTCCTTCCTGTTGTCACCTCCTGACGGACAGGGGCAAAAGTGAGTGGCAAAAGAAGCCCCTCTTCAAAGCCACACATCACGACAAACTTTCATGAGGTTGTAAGAAGAGCAAAGAGTGCTGGATCAAGCTGATCCGAGTCTTGGATTCTTCTGTTTCCAGATCTTTTGGCGAGGCCACCCTTCCTGTTCCAGCTCTTAACAACGGGAATGTGGAATATGTGGGCTGGGATGTTAGAGTTAATGGAAAGCCAAAATGATTAGGCTGCCCTGAAAGCCAGCAGCTTTCCCACCTCGATGTCCGTCACTAGATTCTTTGTGGAATAGCAAATTCTGCGGTTTAGGACATTTTCTCTGGGGGTGGGGTGGGAGGAAACCCTCTTTTCATTCTTGACTCTCTCATCATGCAATGTGTTGGACAGCCCCGTTGGATTCTAGCTTGCCCAGGCAGGAATACTGTAGTACTTTCTGTCTCTCATTTACCTATCATATTTTCCTCTCTTCCTGCTGCTGACTTCTGGGACCTTGAGGTACATTTGCTTCCTCGTTCTTTCTTTCCCCTTCAGGTAGGTTTTAAGGGAAGGATTTGGGGAAGCAGAACCTTCTGTTCCTCTTCAACTTTCCCCAGCTTGGCACAGTCACAGTGTATTGGACTTGAAGGCAGGACAAGAAGCAATGGATGGAAACTAATCAAGAAGAGAAGCAACCTAGAACTAAGGAGAAATTTCCTGACAGTTAGAACAAATTGCCTCCAGAAGTTGTGGATGTTCCATCCCTGGATGTTTTTAAGAAGAGATTGGGAGACCATTTGTCTGAAATGGTATAGGTTTTCCTGCTTGAGCAGGGGTTGGACTAGAAGACCTCCAAAATCCCTTCCCACTCTGTTATTCTGAATTTCCCAGGATCCCCCTGTTCTTGGTTGCTGGGACATTCTGCTCATTATGGCCTCATTGTATTTAGAGGCTGCCTGGTTGAACTTTTTTACCTCTGTACTGTGCCAAATAAATTGATTTGACCTTCTTGAGGTTGCATTCCAGTTCAGTTGCCCTCTCTCAAATGTTCAAGTACCACAGTTTTCTGTGGAATCTTCCTTGTCTTCCCTTAGGATAATATTCTTTATACCACTTATTTAATGGTGTATAACTACGGTGCATCCTCTCTCTATCTGGAGGGCTGATTGTGATAAGAGTCCCCTTCATCCTCAGATCTCTTGGGAAGGGAAGGAGATAATCTTTCTGGGTTACAACACCTCAAGGGGATGTTTGCTGAGATAATTGTGCTACGAGGACAGAAAGCATTTCCCCATTCCTGAACAGAGGTCTTTGCTCCACCTGATTGAAAGGATAAGGAAGTGAATGAAGCCATAGAGAACGGCGCCTTATCTTTGCTAGTTTCTCTCTTGCCTGTGTTTCACCCTTGAGGCTTATTCATTTTGGGAATAAGGGCTTTCATTGGATGAATTATGTGGGCAAGTTTCTTGAGTCTGCAGAAATAATTCTTCCTGCTTTTTCAAAGTTTAGTCCTGTCAAGTTCGTTTCGAAAGGAAAGAGAACAGTCCACTTTACTGCTGCTGCTGCTTTCTTTCTTTTTGCGTGTTTGATTTTGTTTTCTTGTTTTTTTTGCTGCTGGACTGGTGGTATCCAGATGTTGCTGAGTTATAGCATCCAGTAGACCCGGTTGGCGTGGCTAAAGTGACTAATGGCAAAGTCTGTTGGAAATCGTCGCCCGGCGACAATTTAAAAAGGTCATCAATTGCTAACATATGGGATGGAAACTTTTGTGTCTTGCTAAGGTGCTGGTGCCTCTGCTTTCCTACCTGGTCGCTGATTAAGGAGGAGACCATTTTCTGATGGAAGGCAATCAGGGCCACACCTTTTTTTCAAAAGAAAGGCTTGTCTCAAGAGGCATCGAAAAACTCCCATGTTGCTTCCTTAGCCTTGATTCATTGGCCTGATAGGTAGAAATGAGAACAGTTCTTCCTTCTTTTCCAGCACCTTCCAATTCATTACTGTTGGTTATTCTCTTGCACCCTCTCAAAGGTGGAGATTTTACAGGTAGTCCTCGATTTACAACCATTCTGAGCCTCGGTGGCACAGTGGTTAGAATGCAGTACTGCAGGCTACTGCTGCTGCCTTCCTGCCGGCTGCCTGCAATTTGGCAGTTCAAATCTCACCAAGCTCAAGGTTTTGACTCAGCCTTCCATTCTTCTGAGGTCAGTAAAACGAGGACCCAGACAATTATGCTGACTCTGTCAACTGCTTAGAGAGGGCTGTAAAAGCACTATGAAGCGGTCTATAAGTCTTAAGGGTGCTATTGCTATTCGTTTAATGGCTGTTTGAAGTTACAACAGCACAGGGAAAAAAAAGAAGGGACTTGTAGCATCCCCATGGTCATGTGATCAAAATTGACCGTTTTGATCAAAAGAAAAGAATATACAGTACTGTAAGTACTTTTGTTGCTACCGGTACATGGAAACCGCTTCTGGACTTGTGCTTGGGGTGGGGGTGGGGGAAGAAACTTTGATTTTGGGTTTCACTGATTAGATTGATTTGTTGTTATAGAAACGGCTAGTTTATATTATTATGGAAAAGGAAAAAGTTGATGTTCGATATGAATGCTTTATTCTGCTGCAACAGAGGGAGTCGGAAGTCAAAGCCTTTTTCTTCTCTTTTCTCCCTCCCCTCTTCACTTTTCTTTCCTTTTCTCCTCCCCGCTGTGTCCTACTATTTGCTTCTGTATATTTGTATTTTACTCTATAACAATAAAATGTTTTATTGAAACAAAATATGCATTTCTGATGGTTGCAATGCTCCAGGGGTCGTGCGATGATTCCCTTTTGCGTCCTTCTGACAAGCAAAAGTCAATGGGGAAGCCAGATTCACTTAAGAATAGGTTTACTAACTTAAACGCAGTGATTCACTTAACAGCCGTGGCAAAAAAAAAGGGTCGTAAAATGGGTCAAAACTCACTTAACAGCTCCCTTGCTGAGCGACGGAAATTTTGGGCTCTGTTGTCGTATGTCGAGGACTACCTATGTTGACTATGTATGTCGAAGACTACCTATACTGTGATCGTTAAGCAAACCCCTGTGAGCCGTTTTTGCCAAAAAACTTCGAAGTAAAACGCCAATGTTTGGTTAAAAAAAAAAAAAAAACCAGTCACATGACCGTCATAAAAGTGGTCGCATAACTGTGATGGCAAGGCAACCATTTGTAACTTTGAATCTGCGTCGTAAGTAACCCCCAAGGAGGTCTGCTGTAACTTTGGTTCACTAAATCAGGGGTCTCCAACCTTGGCAACTTTAAACCTGGCAGACTTCAACTCCCAGAATTTTGGGAGTTGAAGTCTGCCAGGCTTAAAGTTGCCAAGGTTGGAGACCCTTGCACTAAACCACTGGTCGTAAAGCGAGGACTACCTGGATTGGTTTACCTGTGTTTTCCCAATTTCAGATCTTTTTATTTCTGTTTGACCCCTTTCTCCTTTTCAAAACCCCTCCCCCCCAAATCATTGTTGAGTTCCATTGAAAATCTCAGGGAATACCCAGGGTGAGTCACTTCCTGGAATCATATTGAGGTTGCCTAGGGCCAAGGGTGTGACTTTGGGCTCTCTCTGATAATCTCACCTGTCTCATAAAGGAACCTTGGGTGGGGCAGCTGACTTTTGTTGTTTTTTTTTTTTGCCCAGGTAACATCAGGGCATTGGAACTTAAGGCTCTGGGAAGGTGCGCCCTGGATGCTGACCTATTCCTCAGTTGCTTTGGTACGCTTTGGCGTGGGTAGCTCAGTTTTATTTATTAGCAAAATGAGAGGACCTGATGTTGCTCCAGTTTTGCCTCTCGGTCTGTAAATTCCCAGCATAAGGCCGTGATGGCGAACCTATGGCACACGTGCCAGAGGTGGCACGCAGAGCCCTCTCTTCTGGCACGTGCGCCGTCACCCCAGGTCAGATCTCCGTGGCGTTTCTTTCGTGAGCATCTGTTTCCCTGCAAAAGATGAAACAGAAGCTCACGAAAGAAAAAGAATCTTGCCTCTTGCCGTGCTGCCAATGTTGGCATGCCCCATCTCCCGCCGGCCAGCTTGTCTTCAGGTCTCTGCTGCGCATGCGCCAGTGGTGGGTTCCTCCCGGTCCGGTTCGGCCGAGCCGGTAGCAGTGACGATATGAGGTCACCGAAC